TGTAAATAACATCCTTTCATTTTACAAATGTTTTGAGTCAATACATTTTTTCAACATTCGAAATTTTTCCGTCTTCATGGATGAGCCTTTTGTACAGATGATGAAAAGATGACCATTCCTCAATGTCACCGTTGCAATTCTTATGCAGTGAAGTTTAACGTTGTTCCACTCATATAATTTTCCATTGGCTAATTCCTCAAATGCCCTATCGTATTTGCATTCAATCTCATTATAATCATTCATAATGTCCACTTCGTTATACTTCGTTATTCTTTTTTCAGATTCCGTTAAGTTGTTCCAATCGTGTAACAGTATCATAATGGGCAAAATTTTCTAACAACTGTCTTAATCTAGCGATGTTATTGTTGTATTGTTCTAGTAGGTTACTAATTTTATTTTTCTCAATTTGAGTTTCTGCTATTCTCGCACCTACATCTTTGCTCTCAATAGATTCAGCGTTTCTATCTTTGCTTTCAACCATTTCATTGAGCATTGTTGTCGTCTGAATCACTTTTTGATGCACTGTAGTGTAAAAGTCCTCTTCAAAATATTTTTCTTCCTTATTTTCCGTTAAGAATAATTTCTCATTGTTCTTTAAATTGATCCCATAATCCTTGCACTTTATCTATACGTTCTTTTATTATAAACGTACGCAATTCTCGTTTGCTCCTATTCTTTTTGATATTTTTTACTTCGTCATATACTCTTTACTTTTTTAGCAGAGCCAATGTCTTCGACGGATCCATTATTCTCGTTTTATTTTGTAGCACCTGTTATGCATTTATTTAAATATTTGTGGCACCGATGTTCAATCCCCGGTTCGCGCTTTTTTCACTATATTATATTATTTAAGTATATATTTTTGGTACCGCACTATATATTACTTTGTGGCTCCAAGGACCAAAATGTACCATTAACAATCAAGTACAGGGTTTGAATAATTTGAAATTATTGATTTTTTTCAGAACATTGCTCTCTATTTATACAAAATTACCTTAAAACTAACTTAATTAATTTTACTAACAAGGTTAAAATAATATGTTGTCTGATATCGCTAATTTTAGTGGACTGTATTATTCTTAATTATATTTCATTGTTGTTGCAAAAAAGATTCAAAATAGAACGAAAGTTCCGGCACTTGGGATTTTTCCATCTATTGTCTTAACAAATATATTTTATATATATATATATATATATATATAATAATTAGATACGGTGCCTATGTTACAATGTTTTCTGTTTTAGTTTAGGGTATTTTTTCCCGTATTTTTTCTAAGTTTATAATTCTGAGAATTTGAACGATAACAGATTTAAAGTAATAATAAACTATAATAATTAATAATACGTGTTCATGCTTGAACACTGGTTGTTTACACCGTTTGCATTCCAGTGACATATCCTAATGGAGTTGCTCAGTTTTTAATGAACACTTTGATTTTTTATAAGCTCTTGCATCATGGTTTGCATTACTACACATAAAAATATTATGACTTTGGATCACTGAGAGCATTTCTTCTGAATTACCTACTGCCGGTTTCGCCAATTGTTAAGATAAACATTTTCTCTTAATACATTTGTTAAATTTTGCTTTGAGATGTTATTGTTATTATTTGAGATATATGATTGCTTATATGTTCTTGGAAGTAATTTTTGGGTTGCACAGTACTTAATTGATTTTTGGAAAGAGTTCTCTGCTTAACTGCAACAAATTCAGTACAACCCCTATAATTTGCACATACACTGGGCAAGATGCAATAGCTTCGAGAATGGCGAAATTTTTGACAGTTAGTGCATTGTATTGGATTTTTTCTTTTGAAAGGTTCTTCTACTGTTATTCTTCGATGTAAAAGATAACGAAGATTGTAAATTGGATGTACTTCTCCTTTAGCGAGTATTTTTACGTTTGGCTTAAGTTCTACTTTAGATATTGGTTGAGGTGTTTTGTTTTTATTTTTAATATTAAAGATGGATTCTGCTTCAAATTCGGCTTCTGCCAAGGCTGCTTTTATATCAGATTCCGGTAAAAAATGTTCTATACCTTTCATTACAACACTTAAACCTTTGTTACTTTTTAACTGATAGGTGCATAGCTTTTGTTATTGGCATCAGAGAAGTTTAAAATTTTTCTGTGGTTAAGCATTTTATTTTTAATTTCTTTATATTTTATCTTTATATTGGAATTATCAATAATACCTATGGAATTTTGACCAGTTTTTATATACAGCTGATTTGTGATACTGCTTAATGCTTCTCTTTTCTAGTTTTTCTTTCTAAGTAAAAGTTTTTCCGCCTGCCTAACATTTTCTACTTGTGAGATGCTTTTAGTTTTTTTGTTGCAGTAAAAGAAATATAATTTTTTGGTGCATTTATTTGGATTTGTTTAAATAACTTTTTCTTCCATAAGCACTGTATAAATACTATATGTACCTTGTAATCGTTCTTTTTCTGAATTGTCGCGCTTATCCAATCGGTAAATTTTTCTTATTTTCACGCTGGCAACACTATTATACACATACTGTCAAAGTTTAACATATATCGTACGATTAGTTTTTGTTTGGCGTCTATACAAAGAAGCTGAAAAATTTTCGTGTGGCGATTTTTAGCTGAATTTCATTCAAAAAAAGCGTCGTTGTGATGTGCTCAAAGAGATGATTTCCAACGCAGATAGTGACCCCACATTCATCGAACATCATAACTGGTAAAGAGGCGTCTATGAATTTGACAACAATAGACCGAATGGTGAAAATTGGATCAAGCGTTGGCATGCATGTATTGCCGCAGAAGGAGAGTACTTTGAAGGCGATAATAAGAAAATTATTAAAAATTAATATTGTGGGCGTTTTTTTAACTTCTCGTTCTTTTTTGATCATAAGGTATTATAGTAAGTCTAACAACTAATTTTGGACAAAAATTGAGTAAAAATTGATATGACATACAAATTAAAATGCAAATTTTATTGTTTTAAACTCTATACCGTCACCGAAAAGTAAGGTTTCCCGTAAAAAACATTAGAATGGCGTTGTACTTCATATATAATGTCAATGTCCAAGAAATTTGTATATTGAAATATGTATTTGCATGAAATTTTAATCATAAGAGTTAGGTTATGAATTAGAATTTAAAATTAGGTTTACATTTAAAACCATAAAATGGATAAACCTAAATATATAATTTTTTTGTAATATAGTTCAATTCTGAAATGGAACTCCAATGTTTTTCGAGTTCTAATGGGTTCATGCATCAAATTTGTTCTACAAGCAAATTTTAAATACTTTAAATTTTGATTAAATTAAAAATACATATAACATATTCAAAGTGCGAGCGCTGCATGTAATGTACGATTGTATATGACATAAATACTTGAAATTGATTTTATATGTGTGATTACATACAACATATCACTAATAGAATAGTTACAACACCAAGTGGTCATAATACTTCAGTTTCAAAATTGCAATATCTGAACTTTAAAATAAAATATAGCACGTACTCTCACCTGCACTTCCAGAGCATGGTATGCTACAATTAAACCTAGAAGAATAACAGTTGAAACTGTTATAAGAGTTTTTAACGCAGTAGAATAAAATGATGCCTATAAAAAAAGAAGAATAATAAAGTAAAAAATGTGTAGAGAAAAGTAAGTAGTTACTTACTTTTGTGTAAACTCCAGCACTACTTAATTCGTTTTCAATGACCATCACAACTATACCAAACATGCCCATTACTAGAGCGTAATCACTAATACGTTTGCGTTTTTCGAATAATGCTTTTCGTTTTCCTAAACGATAACCGACATTAGGTTTATGTTTCGCTGAGTTAGTTGATGGTTTTCGCGAAGTATTACCACCAGTCAAGGCACGTTCCTCCATATACCTAAAAAGTTTTAAAGTTCCAGTAGTTAATAAACGTAATTCTAGTAAATATATGCATTGAATTGATATTAGAAGTAATACTGAAAACTAAACACTAATATATGTATGTTTTTTTTTCACAAATAACCAACGTCTGATAGTGGCGATACAAAAGAATAGAAAGGATTGGGACTAAAGGAATTTCTTGAGTATGGCCTTCACCTACGTGGTAGGCACCTTGACTTGGTGTAGGGGCTTAGCTACAGGCAAGTTTGCTGACTATTGGTCTCCTGCTCACTGTCTATGCAATGGTCAGGAGACTTGTTGTCGGTCTGGCTTGTGGGTACAACAAAGAACTACCAGCAGTTGTGTTGTCCTGTAGTTTATGTGCATGTATGTGTGTCTTTGTCTCTTTATGTATGCATGTATGTTTTTCTGTCTTTTAGAATGATTGGAAGTGTGTAGGTCCACTAGGTGTCTGGGGACCAGGGTTTATGATGAACCAAGACCGTCCATACGTGGTGCAGAGCCACATATTATGGCGGATCTAGAGAGGAAAACTCGATAAAACCCGTAACCCTGGGTGTATAAACGACCGTGCCCAAGGATGAATGGCACTACGTAAGTGTGTCTTAGAACGGTGGACTCCGGATACCTGGCGACCTCCGGTTTCAATTCAGCCTTTCCGGAGTAAAGGGGGCTATGCTTCGGACGACCTCCCTTTCCCCTACACTCGTGGGAACATTTATGGACTCTTTTAAAAAAATTAACAAAAAAAAAACTAACAAGGAACTAGGTACCAGTTCCGAACACGATCTCCTGGCATCAAGTCAAGAAAACGAGCGAGTCGAAACCGCCATACTTACCAATGTAGGCAGTAGCAGCCAGACTGCGCCTACTTCGCATATAACAGAAAAATCGGCAGACAAGCGCGCCAGCCATAGTGCGCCTGCTGAAAAATCAAAAAAGTCTGAGGCAAAGATCAGACGTCAAAGGTACCAGAAGGCTATGTTAATTCTTGGCAAGATTGCTAAAAATGAAGCTGAAGGTAAAGAACAGACGTTTGACCGTACAGACAAAGTACGATACCAGAAGGTGGTCGATTAGTACAGGGAATACCAGGCCATCCTATCAAAACCCGCAAAGGCAATGAAGAGGGATCGGTTTCAGGACGAGACGGCCCATACTTCAAAAAGCAAGGTAGCGAGAACAATTTCTACTAGTAAACCGTCAACGACTGCGAAAAGGGCATATAACGAAGTAGCAAGGGATGAGCTACAGGTGGCGCTCATTGATGATATTACTGGCAATGGAAAAAAGATGCTGGAAAAATGGGGTGAGATTGAGCCCAAGCTGGCGGAAATGGTGATGGAACACCTTTTAACAAATCTAGACGTCCCCACACCAGGCTTTGATTCATCAGAAGTGGTTCGTGGTTGCAGGGTCTTCAAATGTGATGACCAGCTATCCAAAGTATTTCTTGGCAACCGCATTGCTAAGGTAAGTGATGCATGGGAAGGTTTAAGGATAAAGCTTGTCCCAGCCAACGATATCCCTAGAAGACCAAGGGCCCGCATTTGGCTGCCAATTATGAAGATGAAGCACGAGAAAGTACTCCAGCTGCTACAAAGGCAGAACCAAAACGTGCCAATAAATGACTGGGTAGTCATCAAGGACGAGGGCACACAAAAGAACAATATGACGCTTCTTCTGGCGATAAACGAGGAATCCGTGAAGCTACTGGAAGAAATGGACTGTAAGCTGAGGTTTGGCGTAGGGCACACGAAAACAAAAATATTCCGCCCAACAGGCAATGATGATGATGGCAACGAGTTAGAGGATGCTAACAAATTGCTTGATGGCATGAAGCTTCAGGAAGAAGCTGCAGAAACTTCATAAGCCTGCCCGAATGCTGAAAGTAGCACAAATCAACCTTCAGCATTCGAAAATCGCCTCGAACAATCTCGCCATCTTTCTCATCGAGGAGGATGTCGATGTCAGCATCGTGCAAGAGCCATGGGTCAGAGGTAAGGACGTCATGGGGCTAATGCTGAAAAATTATAACAATTTGTATATTAGGAACAATGGTAAGCCAAGATCATGTATATTAGTTAAAAAATGTATTAATCCTCTTTATGTCCACAGTATAGCGATAATGATCTAACAGTAGTAAGGATCGAAATGCCAGGTGGATAAAATTTTATTGTGGCTTCTGCCTACATGGCACATGACAGAGATGCTCCTCCGGAAGAGGTAGTCGCGCTAGTAAACAGAAGTACATCAAAAGATATTCCCACGTTAATTGGATGTGACGCCAATGCGCGGCATACGCTTTGGGGCAGTTCGGAAACCAATGACAGGGGTGAGTACCTGTTTGATTTTATTAACAATTCAAATCTTTTAATTTGTAATAGAGGTAAAACACCTACTTTCACCTTCCCCAGTTCACAAGGGTTTGATGGATGGGAAGAAGTGCTAGATATAACACTCCTATCCGAAAATCTAGATATTGTAGTTAGTAATTGGAAGGTATCTGACAAGAAATCCTTTTCAGATCATAGTTGGATTCTCTTCAACTTAAACATCAAACCAAATCATACCATCCCCTTTAGAAACCCGAAGAAGATAAAATGGGATATTTTTACAAGGGTAACTAAGGTGGAACTTAATAAAGTAAGACAAATCAAGATAGACTCTACTAGTAAGTTAGACGAGAGGATATATAATCTTGAGGCAGCTTTTAATATAGCTTACAAGAAATCTTGTCCAATAAGTAGAAGCAAAAAATCTTTTCCACCTTGGTGGAATTCAGAATTAAGTGATCTCAGGCAGAAAACACGAAAACAGTTTAACGAAAGCTATAAGGACAATAGTTGGCATGAATATAGGGACTGTCTTAAAACTTACAAGAAAGCTATCAGGGAGGCCAAAAGTAATGGCTGGAAGGAATTTTGTAAGTCAATTGAATCAACCTCATCCTCTGCTAGGCTCAGCAAGGTTCTATCCAAGGAAAGTGCAAATCCTTCTTATCTTAAGAAAGAGGACGGCACATGGACTGAAACCTCTGCTGAGACACTAAGACTACTATTAGATACTCATTTTCCAAACTGTGACGATGATGCTAGAGAAAACGGTTCAATCACCCTGGCAAGCACACCATCACAGATGGCTGAAACAATAGTCACAGCGGAAAAAATTAGGTATTCAATTAACAGTTTCTGTCTCTATAAATCGCCAGGTTTGGACGGTATTTTCCCTATTATGTTACAAAAACTACAAGACTTAGTGGTTTTATGGTTAGGGGAAATTTACAAAGCATGTCTTAAATACAGTTATGTACCACTTAGTTGGAGACAGGTTAAAGTAGTCTTTATACCCAAGGCAGGCAAAATCGGACATGAGTCCGCCAAAGATTACAGGCCGATTAGCCTAACTTCATTCTTACTAATAATAATGGAGAGGGTAATAGAGCTCCACCTAAGACAAAAGGTAGAACGTTTTCCAATCTCCAAATCCCAGCACGCTTACCTCAAGGGTAGATCTACGGAAACAGCTCTGCATGAGGTCATTCGTACTGTGGAAAAATCAATTCATTTTAAGCAATACTCGTTGGCAACCTTTTTAGATATTGAAGGGGCTTTTAACAATGTAAGCAATAAAGCTATAAATGACTCTCTTTCCAGAATAGGTTTAGAAGAAGAGTTTAAAAATTGGATAGTTACTATGCTTAAAACAAGGATTATTCAATCAAAGTTAGGCAGCATAACCCAAACGAAGCACGTCAGTAGGGGGACGCCACAAGGAGGGGTTATTTCACCATTACTGTGGCTGCTGGTCGTGGATAATATTCTTAATATTCTAAATAAGATAGGTGTGAAAGCAGTAGCGTACGCGGATGACGTGGTTATTCGAGTGTCAGGTATGTTCCCTAACATAATTAGCGACATTATGGAAAGGGCCTTGGCTAAGATAAATACCTGGGCCACAGGTTGTGGACTAGGTATTAACCCAGGAAAAACTGAAATGATGCTGTTTACTACTAAAATCAAAACACCAGCTTTCAGGTTACCTTCACTAAACGGGCAACAATTAAAACTATCGGAAAAAGCCAAATATCTAGGAATTCTGTTGGATAGTAAGTTAAACTAGAAACACAATGTCGATCTTCGTATCAAGAAGGCATGTGTAGCTTTCTATTCTTGCAAGAGGATGTTTGGCAAAAAATGGGGGATTCGTCCCGATATTACGCACTGGATGTACATGGCAATTGTACGCCCAATTCTCACGTATGGTGCTGTCGTGTGGTGGCTGGCTCTAAACAAGAGCTATAATATCGACAAACTTAACAGAATTCAGAGGACGGCATGTGTAGGCATCACAGAAGCTAAAAACTAAAAGTCGAATTCTAGGTACAGTTCCAAATTGTCTGTATAGGATGACATCGGATTATCTGAATCCGTGTATAAACTTCGAAAGGAATTTTCAGACAATATTCCCTTCAAGAAATGAGTGGAAAAGGAAAAATTTCGAAGCAAATTACGATATCTCAATATATACAGATGGCTGGAAAATTAGCGGTGGGGCAGGAGCAGGAATCTTCGCACCATCTAAAAATATAAATAACTCTCTTAGGCTACCTAATGAGGCTACGGTTTTTCAGGCTGAAATCCTAGCAATAAGAGAAGCCTGTCTGCAAATTGCAAGCCACATCGAGAACAGATGTAGTGTTGCTATTTTTATTGACAGCCAGGCAGCAATTAAAGCTCTTGAATCCTTTATAATAATATCAAAAATAGTAAAAGAATATAGAGAAGCAATCGACGAACTAAATCGGTTGGCCTATATCACACTCATCTGGGTTCCTGGGCATAGGAACATCGTAGGGAATGAGAAAGCTGATAGTTTAACCCGCTCTGGTGCCTCCCTAGACGCATCACTGGCGGTACCAGTTTATATTACCCTGTAGACCATCAAAAGAAGTACATTTCTTTACTTTCTGCAACTCGCCAATAACAGATGGAAAGCACTAAGGTCATGTGCAACTTCCAGGTTAACGTGGCCCACCTATAATAAAAATAAATCCCTGGAACTGATCAAAATAGATCGCGTAAACACTGCAAGTCTTATTGCAGTTCTTACTGGTCATTGGTGTATAGGAACTCACGCAGAAAAACTGCGTATTGCTTATAACTCTCACTGCAGAAGTTGTGGAAACCCGCAGGAGAAAGAAACAATAATACATTTTCTCTGTGAATGCCCAGCTCTAGCATCCAGAAGATATAGGTTCTTAAGGAAATACTTTTGTGATAGTTTATCAGACTGCTCAATGGTGAAGATGAAAGACCTATTAAATTACCTAAATTCAGTGGGATGGATTTAATCTCTACTCTTCTATACTAGGGTTCTTGCGAGGAATGTGGTAACAAAACGGCGAAAAATCACTAATTAAGGTACATTTGAAGTTATCTTATGACCTGCCACTGCAACCAACCAACCAACCATGGCCTTCAAAATATTTTGTTATTGAAATCTGAAATACAAAATATAAATATACAAAGGTACTATCAAAAAAATACAACCATTTTAACACTGAAGCATTTGTGAAAACTATTGAAGATAGAAACCTGATTCAGAAGGAAAAGAACCCATTAAATTGAAATGGACGACAAAACGAATGAAGACAACAGTACACTCAGAGAATTATTATGTTTTTTAAACGTTTCAAACAATAAAACATCATCGTGGAAAAATAACTTACTTTCCTTACAAGCGAAAATGTTGCTTTCAAATAATATTCGTCAAATAATAATTCAACTAAAGAGAATATTTGCACTTACTTCATATTTTACAACAGATTTCTTATTTGCTTTCATAGAGTAAATTATGAGTTTGTTTAGATGAAACGAAATCCCATGTTGTTGGTTTACAAAAATATTAAAAAAAAAAAGAAAAGTACGAAAAATTTCTTTCTCATAAATATATGTATATGCATTCATTTAGAGTAAACAAAACCAGGACAAAGAAGTAAGTAAAGATTAATAGTGCACTTTACTAAAGTTGAGTTTAAAGCAATTTGAATTATAAAAATTATAATAAGTATTTTAATTATTTAATTACTAAATAGAAGCGAAGAAGCCGTTCTTAGCATTAATGCAATTACCATTTTATTTTCCTACAATTACAGTTCGAGGAAGGGGTGTGGTTCGGAAACCAACGAAAACTGAAAGCGCTGTATGTCACTTCTTGGTAAATATATATGTAGGATCTCATTAGTTAAATAACACTTTATTAAACAGATAAACCCTTTCATCACTACTAAATTGTAAACAAACAGGGCAACGCTCATGCGTGTTCCTTAGCGTCGAACACATTTGATGAGTCAGTCGTTGAAAGTAAAAAGAA